ATTTGACAGCTGGTATTAAAATGCATTTATTGAATACTGATAAATGAAATATGAATTTTTCTCAATTAACTCTACAAAATCCCGGGGTATTTTCCTAAAATCCGTAATTTCATTTGAATTAAATTGCCGACACTCGTAATCTTGAACTTAATAAAATCTCAGATTTAAGCCGCTGCTTATGCACATTTTCCCGTAATTAATTCACCACCCAGCGGGCCTCTTTCCCCCGAGATTTCCACTCAAACGTGGCCGCCGTAAATTGCTTTACAAATTGCAACAATTTATGCCTAATTATATTTAAATTTGACAGGCCATTGGATTTGCCTTTGATGCCAAATAGGGCGCCATTGACCTTACCCCTCGTCCTTCAGACCGCCGCCTCTTTGGAAAACCCCCCAAAAGTCAAGATGTCGGCCACGCCCATCTCCCAAATAAAACGCTGCAGGGAGAGGGGAAAAGGGAGGGCGGCGGCAGCAGCTGATAGCTGTAATCCGAGGAGCTTAGACCACCACCCCAGACCACCTCAGAGAAACCCTACTTCTCATTTTTTCCAGACCCCGACGGAAGGAGAATGGCCCGGCAGTAATTCACACAATAAGCCGCAGACAGGCAGCCAAAAGAAAAAAACAACAAATTTAATGTCGGGAATGGAGGTAAAAGCAGAGGAGATACCCATTAAACCCAAATAAAATATAATTTAAATATAAAAAAATTAATAAATACCATGAATTTTAATTTTTGTACAGTATTCTCTTAAGGTTTTTTTTTAAAAGTGTGTGATTATGAATGATAAATATTAATTATGATGATCAAATCAAAACAATAAATTCAGATTTTAAAAACTACGTTAGAAACATTTAATACTTTAATTAAACCAAAATTTTGTTAAACCCTACTTAGTATTTTATTCCTGCACTTATATTATTTTTATAATACTTGTTCTTATCTTATCTTAAAATTTTAAAGTCGTATAAACCCATAAATCCTCTGCTACCCTAGAAAATTTCAGGTATAAATACATGATGGAGAAAGCAGAACGGGCAGAAATGAGAAAAGAAAATTTCCTGAAGCTGGCAGCTTGTGGCACGTTCCACCCACACATGCACAGGCTCACGCACACACCTGTGAGTGGCTAAAGGGGGGATCTAAAGAGGGGGAGTGAGGTGGGTTTGCCAGACTTGTGGCATGCCTCAAAGGCAAATGTGGCTCAGACAAAAACGCATAGAGAGACATTTCGGCGTGCCAAAGCCAAAGATGGAAAAAAAGCAAAGGAAAATAAGGGAAAAGTCCTGTAGCCACTAGAACTTTAGTAGCTCACCTCTTTAACACGTAAGCGACAATTACGGTGCTGCAGTGGCAGTTGCAAGATACAGATACATCAGCAACAGCAGCTGCGGCGGCCAGGAAAATGGAGAGAAAAATCAACCCGTGAGTCATAAATTCGCTTCGACGCCTCCACGTTTTTTATTTCGCCTGGTTTATTTTTTTTTGCAGACGCACACGAGAGGGAGGGGAGGAGGTAAATGCAGCCAGCCAGACGGGGCAGAGATAAAGATAATGTATGCGGCGTGGCTTACACAATGTATCTGAGAGATACAAAACAATTAAAGGCAGCCGGCAATCGCTTTAATTGTGATTTTATGCAAATATTTGGGCGAGCCCGAGATTCTTAAAGGTTTCATCTGTCGATTGAATTAAATTTCCGACCCGAGCTTTATGGAATATTTATTCGGTCTGCGAAAGGAGCCTCCCATTGTCTGACTCATCTTCACCGTCGAGATTTGGGATATTGTATATTTTCGTTGCAAATATTTTCCCCATGAAATCAGCATCCATTCAGTAGGGGAGCGAATCGTCTGTATCTGTATCTTGTGCTGCCTTTACCCCTTTTTAGTTGCTACACATTTGCCGCACTTGCAATTTAGTTGAAAATTGTCTTCTCAAAGGAACATAACAATAGCAGCTGCGTAACTGCCCCCACTTCTAAACTTTTAGCTGCTGTAGTTGCAACTTGCAGATTGCAGTCTGTGATCAAGTTGCAGCACGCTTATCCTTTGACTGACTTTGATTGACAGGAAACTTGGAAAATTGTACAAGCGTTTTCCACTCTACAGTGATTGCAACAAATCACTTTTAATTATATTAATTCTTGGGTGTCAGAAGATTAAAAATAAATAGGTTAGTTTCTATGTTTTGTAGTAATTTTCTAGGTATTTATTGTAAAATCTTATCTTATCTTTATTTTTTTTCCATTGATGCGTTTAATTTGTGTTAAAAAGGTTCAATTGTTCCTGACCAGCTGCATATTTTCCTGCAATTTCTTTTGGTTTACAAACTTGTTTGTTTAAAAAGGGAGAACATTTTTGGCAATTTAATTAAAGTTCTCAGATGTTTCTGGTTTCGACTCCGAGGCAATCAGGGCATCCACCTGACCAGAACTTTACCCACAATTGGCCAGTTCCAGGCGGACAGCAGTGCAATTAGAACTCGTGACCATGCCACAAGCTAAGCAAATATCTCAAAAACAAAGGGAACTATTTTGGTATCTCTGTTTCAACCACAGAAAGTAAATCACCATTCCCATTCCCTTGTAACATACCTCCCTGCCTCTCTTGGTATCTTGGAAAAGTTGAAAGTAGAAAGTTATCCCTACATAAATGAAAATGTATTTGTTTGCCATTTTTGTGAATATTTGCTTTGCTCGACATGTGTCCGGTATGCGAAATAATTAAAGAAAATATTCTTTGTTTTTCTTTCATTGGCTTTGCGACTTAAAGTGGGCGGAAATGGGGGCGGAGAAGCAGATCAAGAACAATGGCCAACCGAAATAAATTTCCATTCAATTTGTTTAAAGGCGAAAAGGATATGGACTTCCTTCCTGGCCAGGGCAATAAAACATAACAAGTTGTCACAAGTGTGACACTGATTGAAATTATAAACTGTCACCAGCAGGGACGCATCCCTCAGATGCGTGGATACACAGATACAGATACATATACGAGTGGGTGTCGTCCCATGTATATTATTTGAGATTTTTGCATACAAATTATGCCAAAGTCGGTCTCCTGGCAACTCCAGCAAATGTATTCCAAATATTTGCCCGGTGAAAGTGTTGGCACTATGTGGGGTGTATCTATATATATAGGAGGACGTAGGACGAACACGGTGGGGGAATATTTTGGGGGGGCAAGGACAAAGTTTTAGCCTGCTGCTGTGCGATAGAAAAAATATTGTTGCGCATTAAGTCTGGCTAGCAAGGGATAGTTGGCAGTTTTAGTCGCAGTTCTAGTGGCAGATGCACAGACTCCATAGAGTTACCCCCATACCATCTCCCTTCACCCTTTTCCCTTTCTCTGGCTGCATAAACTTTTAATTTGTGCGTAGCTAGCGAAAGTATATGAAAAATGGCACGAAAACAAAAGTTCCATATAAAAGTGGATGCATGGGCTGCTGGGTTCCGTGGAGAAGGAGTGCAAGGAGATCGGGGACAGGAGCCGGTAATTGAGGCAAACTGTGAAATACGAGTACATAAGGACTCTGCAAAAGCAGGCCAAACAAATTAAAAAGGCGCGAGCGACGGGGGAATATTGGGGCAGATCGGAATACTGGGATTGAAAGATAATTAAGTAAGTGCGTAAAAGGGTGATGGCTTTATCCGAACAAGTCGAAGCATCTGATATCCTAACAGTGATGAAGATAAGAAAAAAGCTGAAGAACTTATTTCTAACTTCTGACATCTTTATGGGGTAATATAAATTATACTGGAAAATCATTGCCCCCAACTTTTAGAACAAATCACTTAACTCAAATAAATTACTCCACATTAAACCTAAATTGAAACTAAAGACACCGCTTGTTAATTACGAGCCTCGTAAATTCCCAACAACATTATTCCATCGAATTTCCCTTATTGATTAGGTATTGATTAGGCGAATAAATAATTCAGTGAACAAAAGCCCAAATGAACAATAATCAAATCATGTTCCCAAAAAAGGAGTCTAAAGAAGGGGCAGCAAAGAGAGTTCAGGAAACGGGGAATCGTGACAAAAGCGAGTTAACTAAATTTCAATTAGTGAGTACCGCCCATAGAAAGGGCTAAATAAGAGTCTGTGAAGGAGGAAGAAGCGCTGCCAAAAAAACAACTCTTCTCTATATTCCACCAAAGTTGGCTTCGGCTTAAAGTTGACAATTAAAAACTTTTTCCAAGCTTTTTGTGCTCTGTCGTTGTTTCTTTTGTTGTTGTTCTGCCTTTGCTATCAGTTTGTTGTTGCTTCGTCTTGTCTAAATTAGTTTTTTACATACCCTAACTGAGGGAACTATAATTTGGGTAAGATAAAATTATTACAAGACAAATATAGAACTTAGGGATAAGTTTAGATTTGTCATTGATATCAATGTGGATATTTCTGGAATGCTGGCAATTACGATTTATTCTAAATTTTAAAAATTAATTATGATGATTTGTCTTTTGATATAAAGGGTTTGAAACACAATTTTTTTATTACAACCGTTTTAACAAATTATTAAGGTTCTTTAAAAATAGATTATTATTGGAAAAATCTATCCAAATTGCGAAAACCTTAAGTGTATTAACAGTTCGGCTTTCAAAACGTACTCTTTTTTTTATCGTTTTTTGTTAGCATAGAGAGACAAAGTTTGGCAAAAGCAAAACTGTGCAAATTAGTTTAGTTTATTCGTATTTTGTTGTTTCTTTGAAATGATTTACATTTTCTGGGCTTTAGAATCCAATTGGAGTTGTCTCCGGTTCTGGTTGGCCAAATGAAGAATGCCTCAACAAGTTGTTGGGGCTTTTATTTCATGCCTTTTTCGGGGGAGGAGATGGTTAGGAGATTCTCTGATTCTCTGATCAAATTAAAGTTACTTTTCACATACGACAAAAGCCAGTTTGCGACGCCGACTGCGACGCTGGCAGCGAAAGCCGCGACATGTGGGCGGTAAAAGACACACAGATACACACGCACACCAATGCAGGAACTCACCTCGGCCAAAACGCTGCGACTGCGCTGCTTTTGCTTGCTGCTGCGGCGGCTCGAAACTGGTTTTTATATGCTATATGTACGCTATATGTACATATATATATAGTATTTCTGGCTTAGCTTCTCTTCTCGTCGATATGTGCGTGTATATGTACTGCTTTGGTATTTCTCCTCTTTTTTCCAATATATATGCTTTTTTTATGGCGTTGCGAAACACTCGAGTAGGCTTTTGCTGCTGTTGTTTTTTTTGGCCTGTGGGTTCTGTTGGCCCATATGAGACAAGCATTCAATTAAGCCCCACAATTGGCCAGCAAACAAAAGAAATCACACAAATAAACACACTGCTGTTTCACTGTTTCACCCATACGAGCGCAGATAGAATAACCTGTGCGCTTCACTTGTCGCGCGCGCGCTTTTCTTTTCGATTTTCCTCAAGAGTGGGTGTAGGTTGTAGGAGGTGGTTGGGCGGCGAAGGCGGCAACGGCAGCGGCTGCGACGGGACGGTGGGCGGGGCAGAACGGACCGCCAAGCGGCTGGCTGGCTTTGGGTTCGAAGTTCGTAACGTTGCACTAGCGCGATTTCCCCAGACGACAGAAGCGCGCACACATCTGCACAGCACAAAGTTTATAAACAAACTGAAAACTGAACAAACTGAAGTCTGAAAACGGAAAACTGAAGCCGAGCAGCGACGCCGAGCGCCAATGCCAGCGGCGACGCGGCAGAGGGACGGCAGAGCGGCCCCCACAATGGCAGCCGGCTCCAAACAGGTTCGATGGGAGCCCGCAACTTGAACATGTTCGCAGGGCGATAGGCGATGGGGCGTGGGTGGTAATGGAGCCCCAAAGTACAAGTAATTGATATTACAAAATGTTATAATTAAATGGGAAATTATGCTTCATTTTAAGGTTATACTTATGCGTGGTGCTTGTTCCAATTTATAATGATTTCAGTTTACTTTAGAGAGAAAGGACAAAATAAGTTTTATTTTCTGTGATATAGGACTATAGGTCAAAATATCTTATAAGGTATTTACTTAAAAATATGTAGAAGACACTTTGTTATAAAAGTATACAATTATAATTATATTAAAGTAATTTAAGGGATGACTTAAAAGCTGAAAAAAAGAAAGCAATAAAAACACAAGAAAAACTATTTCATGTCTTAAACAAAAACTTAAAAAAACTCAATCCGTTAATACTTGATATCACTTAATCACCCCTCGTTTCAGTTTTTGGTCTACCAACCTGTTTGAGTTCGATGTGTTGCATTTGAAGTACTTTCCACAACTCACCGGAAAAAAAGCCCATAATGCGAATTACGAATATAAATAAAAAGTTAACGAGGGTTTAAGAACGACTGCGATCGAACTTATTCGATTTTACTAAAAAATAACTACTGCTATAAGTAATGAAAGCTTTCCCTTTTTTTTCTTATAGGGCAAACGTTCATACCATTTACATTTTATTTTCAGTTTTCTTGGTCGCTTGATTGTTTGTTGATGTCTTGTCATGGAGCTTTTTTTATTTTTTTTTTCGTTGCTGTTGCTGACGCTGCTTTTGTCACCGATGTTGTTTTTGTTGTTGCTGTTGCTGTCTTCGTTGCTAAGTCAATTTTAAGGTTTATTTGAATTTCATTTTTCTTAGTTTTTCTTTTACGTATTTTCGCTTTTTTCACTTTGTCGTCGGTCGTTGCTGTTGATATTTTTAGTGTTTTATGTAAATTTTTAAGGCGCTATTGAAGCCATGTTTCGCTGCCACTCTTTCCCTCACTTTTGCCCTCTCACTCGCTCAAATACATACATACATAGTTGCTAATGAGGTTGGCTTTATGCCCGACCATACTTATTGGTTTTCCAAGTTTTTCGCCCCTACATCCTTTCTCCTTCGTGCTGCCTGCTGCCTGTTGCTTGTGTTTGCTGCAAACTAATAACAAATTAATTTTGATTTGAATTATTCATGCTCGGCTTAACACTCACAAATGGTAGCTCTGCAGCACTCACACGCATGCATACTGACAAATAAATTAGCATTTCGAACTGGGATAAACCGATTTAACACAAAATATGCAATTACCGCACTTGGAAATCCGCTTTGAATCGAAATCAAATTAAAATCAAATCGACATATTTCGCCATGATGAATACAAAAGAATTCTCTAAAAATTAAACTTTATAATCAAAAGATCTTGACAATAAGAGTACAACAATCCTAAGTAGAACTCGAGATGAGTATAATTTGGATTATATTAATCTGTCTGAAGAAATATTCTTATTATTTCCATATAATAATTATTTAAGCTTAAAAAGTTTCAGCTTTTTGGAAATTGAATTTGTTTATAACTTTTGAACCCTTTGTTACTATAAATATCTTTAAAAATGGTAATAGTCAGGAAAGCATTTTAAATATTACCTTAATTTGTACATCATATACTTAAGTCAAACTTTATCCCATCATTTAGGACCTCCTGCCAGTTACCGGATGTACTGAGGAATCTTCCTCTGATCGGATATCTGACTTAATTCGGATTTAACTAAGTCTCCTTTCCTTTTCCCTCTTTCTTGCTTGCTGCCTTTAGCAGGCAATCAGCAAAGACAACAGGAAGGTGAAAGGGGCAAGGTAAAAGAAGAAAGTCTGAGTCTGAGACCCCGATTCTCTGCTTTCAAACGTCTATCCTTTCGGTACCGTTAATGATGATGCCACACACGTGTTCCTGCCGCTCTGTTTGTGTGAGTGTTTTTCTGTGTGTGTGTGTATGTGTGTGGAAGATGCAGCTGAGCTCCAGTAGAATGCACTCATGCAGCTTGATTGGCCTCCTCGTTTAACCAGCCAACATCCCCCATCTCCGCTTACCACCCCCTGAACTCCCCTTCTCCCCTCGCCATCGCAATGACAGTCAAAGCCAAAGAAGGAAAAACAGGTGGGGAATAAACTGAGTGAGATGGAGAAAATAACTTCCTGTACTTTATATTTTACTATTTTTTGCCTTGCTAAATAAATGGGTTAGTATTACCAAGGACACCTGATAAATAGGGAAAAAGCAGGAGGCAGAGATTCATGCAAAATTGAAATAGTAGGCACAGCAACTGAGTAAGTAGGAAAATGGCCAGAGGGAAAAAAGTGATGGAGAAAAGTGGAGAAAAATATGATACAGGTGGAGTCTAAAATACTGCAATTAAGGTGGGGTTTAGTAAAAGAAGAGTAATTATAATAACAAGGGTAGGATAAAGACTAAGTAAAATGCTTAACACTAAAAGGGCTTTTAATAAGAAACCTTAAAACAACCACAAACAAGCTAAAAAGACCAACTCTTGTCAACGTTTCGAACGATACACATATGAAATGACTTGATTCGCGCTCGTTGCCCTTAGCAATCCATTTAAATTAGCTGTCATTATTTATGGACACTGCCCAGTGCCTCCTGGTGACCCCGCTTAACCCCCTCTGCTATCGCACATTTGTGGGCTAATTAGTTGGGCCGCAGTTCGGAGCCAGGTCTGGAATTATTATAGTGCCGGCTAACTGATAAAGCCCAATCCCCAGCCCACAAAATGCCATCATCATCATCGATGGCGCCGCAACTGTCAGTGCAGTCCGGTCCATGATTTATGCCTGGATTTTCCGAATGTGGAGGCAGGGGGGATTCAAAATAAACATTCCGGCCCCAAAGCTGAACTGAACCGAAAACCAGACAAAGCCAAACAAAACTATTGCTAATGAGGTCCGCAATGCGCGAGGCAAATAAATTCAGATGGGAGCTGCTGACCTCTGACCCTCATCCCCTCATCCCCACACTCACGCATTCATCCCTTGGCCAAACCTCACCCCTTTTCGCCCCTAAAAACAAGAAAAAAGGGTTTCCCCGCTAATGACCAAAAGCGGATTTCGCATTGCAGGCAATTATTATTTCTTGTTCTCCCCTTCTTTTTTTTAAACATAAATTAAACTAAGCCGCTCAAGTGGTGACCCCACAAAGCACCCAAAAAGCCACCTTAACTCTTTCCCTTGAAAAAGAAACTCCTCCAAAAGTAAGTAGAACCCGGTGAAGCGTTTCAGTTTTGTACATTTCTTGATTCACGGCTAATGCGAGGATATCAAATTTAATTTTGCGTAATTAATGTCGCCCGAACTTCCCTTCCATTCGCAACCCTTGCCAAACTTGACCGAGGTCCGAAACATGACCAGAAGAAAATTCATTAATATGATTTAGGCCCACAGGATAAATAACAACAACAAAGACAGCAGCTTTAAGGCATAAAAACGTCCAAAATAAACGGAAAAACAACAGGGGAAAAAACGAAAATGATTTTGTATTTATGTTTTGGGTCCCTCATCGTGCATGACTGAGCCAAGGAATAAAACCCTTTTGGCCAACGTCTGGCAAAAAAAGAGTTAACTGAAGGAAGAACAACTGACGAGCAGAAAAAAAAGGAGGCGATAAAGGTTTGGAGATGGGAGGTAAAAAAAGTGGAAAGTGAAAAACTGAAAAATTTTGTCACCTTAAGGCGGGATTTGGAAAATTTGGGACCTCGACTGTGAATATACGCTAAATGCCTATTTTTAGATATTTTATTATTTTTACAAGGGAATTACAACCTGTTTACTATAAATATATATCCTGTTATTTTATTTTCATTTTATTTTTACACAATTATCAAATATATTTGTACCTCTTGGAACCTGAGGCCAAATCGTGTTTGGCTGCCTTAATTAATATTTTGCGTAATTGAAATGCTTGTTACCCACCGTATTGCTTTCATTCTGTTCAAATACTGTAAATTTACATTTTCGAGCATGGTGCTCACACCAATTATTAATTTTTGTAACTAAATACATGTTTGCACAACAGGGATTTTCAGTTTTCGTAAAGCCCTTCCACATGGCAACCAATGGGGTAAACCTGGCTAAGCTGAAACTGAAACCCCATCAAACTCCGTTTTCCAACCACCTGGTTTCCCGAAGTTAGGGCAACGTTTGAGAAAGGTTTTAATCAGCACGTGGCTGCATCCTATCCTGCGTTTTACCACGTGGCTGTGCGGATTGCTTGTTGTTTTGGTGCCTGGCTATCTGCGAATATTGCCTGCTTCGGCCAGACTCAGCCAGCTTTTCTCATCTTCCCGGCTGCCTGGCAGCCTTGTTTATTTGCATTGGCTGCGGCGATGGATTTATGAGCGAAGCCATTGAACTTGCTCCTCGCTATCGCTCACTCTACCTTTTGGTCCTGACTATCACTCCGTGCCTCCTCAAAAGAGTGTGTGTGGTTGGCACACAAATATGCCAAAGGCACGCACATAGCCTAAGCCACTAACTGGGGCCAAAAGCAACCCCTCCACCCCCACACACGCCCACTTCCACTTCCACTCCCACGCCCCCTCTTGGCACAATGCTCACAGCTCCATCCCCTCCCATGGCACACCCCTTTTGGCCAATTCAACCCCTCGGCCTGGCCAATTTTGACATTTGCGTTTTGACACA